GCTAATGAAATTTTTAATATTTATATAATATTTTCTATATATTATATATATATTTTGCACAAGCCTCTAATTTTTTTCTTAAACATAATTCCCCAAAATTATATTTGCTCCAGGACTCATGCCCAGGAGCCACAATGAATGAATTAGATGCTCCCCACAAGCTAATAAGACTAGTTCTCAAAATTACTTTGCAGTTGAGGAAAAATGGGAACAAGGGAAGAGGAGCTTTATAGGAAAACAATGAGGCAATCTTCCTCATATTCAATATTCACTTTGAGGTAGTTGTGGTTTTTCTGGTTTTCTCATTAGTTTAAGCAGATGCTTGGCAGATGCCTGCATGTAGCACCATGGCTGGACCAGTCAGTGAAGTCTTGTTAGCCGAAGAATGAAGGTAAGCCAGGCTGGACAACAGCGGGATGAATCAAGGTTTAAAGACACAAGCTAAAATGGATTTGGACAGAGTTCAGGGTTGCTTTCACTTCAATACTACTGAATTAGCAAAGGGGCAGGGCAGAGCACACTCAGAAGATAGGGGTAAAGTAAGTGAAGGAAGTGAAGCCCTGTGGTCTCCTCCCTCATGGAGACACATCTGAAATTCAAAGTCAAGGTAGCCATTCACACGGAGCAAGGAATGTGCAAGGCCAGAGGAGCTCAACCTGCAGCTCGTTGTGACGGGGCACACATCAGCCTTTTAGAACTTACCTCCTGCTTTATACAGGATTATAGATAGACCTCAGTTGCCAGTTCTATACGTACAATCAATCTTTGCTTCTATTTTTTCCTTTCGTTATCTGGCCTATGGCAGGCCTGGTCATGGTCCACTACAGAAACATACATGTATATCTTTTGTGACTCATCAGAAGTTCTCTACGCTATTTCTGAAAAGATATTCTATTATCCCTTATAGAGAAACAACAATTTGATGAGGTGATTCTGACATACCAAAATATAACTATACCCAAATTTAAAATATATTTTTGTTATAATTAAGGTATACTTTGTTTTCATTTACCATATCATATTTTATATTTTTTATCCCAAAGACTCAGTGTGTTTTATTTGATCAACATGTATTTTATTGTGCATCTACTATATACCAGGCATCAGAAAATATGGGGCTTCAAAAATGAGTTCTTTAAGGAACTTACTTAAAATTTCCAATAATAAAGTAGTTTTACTAATTTGAGATTTAGATAAGCCTTCAGCCACACTTTCTTTCTCTCATATATCACTGCCTTTTTTGTAGCACTATGCCAAAAGAAAGAAAACAAGTGCCTAGGGTTTACCACAGTGGATCAGATACCTCCAAGTGACAGGACAAACCTCATAAGGAAAACTAGCTAATGTGAGCCTGCAAGAATCTTGCACAGAGCCAGTAGTTATTTATTACCAAGAATGTGCTCAAAAAGGATTGGAAAATCAGTGAGAGTATCAAGTCTGCCAAACCAAAAGCAACTATTGCTAGAGGGAGGATTTCCATTGATGTTAACCAAACACACACCTGTAGCTCTAAAGATTCATGGAACTCAATTAGCTTGCTTATCAAGATCACTGCCCGCCAACAAAATTTAAGCACTTCAGAGGGAGTTACTTTTTTTTTTAAATTAAGCAAAAATCGAGTCAGGTATATTCCTAAATTGCTAGCAGCTGCCAAGTAAAAACGCAGTCAGCAGCACAGCAGGATTTTAACTATGGAACTGCATCAAAGTTTCTGACTTCCACAATCAGTCGAGATTCAGCCCTAGCACCACAGGCGAGAGCAGCCTTGGGAAAGGAAATCTACGCCTGGCCTAAGGCAGCGCTGCCTCCCTTCACCTAACGTTCCTAACTGAGGAGTGCGCCCGCCCGGCCCCGAGAGGCTACAAACATCCTGATGTCTCAAACTGAATCTTTAAAATTCTCTAAAACCAATGTAATTTAATTGCAATGTAACATATTTTCAAGTTTATTTTAATATAATAACCAGCATTTATGGAATACTTCGCAGACACTGTGCTAAGAATTTTACATAAACTACCTTACTTCTCACAGTAACAGGAAATATTTCTATCATTATTTACAGTGAGGAAACTTTGGCTCAGAGAAATTAAGAAACTTTCCCAAGGTTATGAGAAATTAACAAGTGGTGGAGATGGGATTCAAGACACACAAGTTTCTATTTTTCTTCACTATATTACAGTACACTGTTTTAAATCACTTTTCAGTTAAATTAGTTAACTCTTCATCCACAATTGTCTAAGTCAGGAGTCAGCAAACTTTTTTCTGAAAGGGGTCATAGAATTAATATTTCAGGCTTCGTGGACCATATATGTGGCTGGTCTTTGCTGGCCACAACAGTTCAGCTTTTGCCGTTACAGTGTGAGAGCAGCCATGGACAATCCTTACACAAATGAGCATGGCTGTGCTCCAGTAAAACTTTATTTACTAAAATAAGCAGCCGGCAGATTGGAACAATAGTTTGTGAACCATTGTAAGTAAAATGCATGTTCCAGACAGATATGCACATTTATCCTGTGGCTTTGCATAATCTTCTATTCTAGTTTGGGAAAAGAAGGTGGAAAGAAAACTGATTAAAAAAAAAAAAAAAGCCAATGCCAAAAGGTAAGGGAAAGGGATTGAATTTTTCTGTTCTATCTTTATCAACCAGCCTAAAAACAATGACAGGGAACCTATGTGACTCTCTCCAGGCCCTGGTCATGGGTTCTCCACTTCCAGTGGGCCCATGGTTATTCTCTGTCTCTGGCATCATGGGGACGCCATAGCAGATTTTCCCACCAGTCGTGACTCTCCACAGTTAGGTGGATATGCCTATCTTCCCACTTAATTGGAACCCTACCCGTAGAGTCCAGTGAATTTACTAATTATCCCTCTACATGTTTTATGTCATATCTCCATGTCTTTGCTCATGCTAGGAAAATTGTCCCACTCTGTTAACTGACTCCAACAGCTAACTCCAGAAATACTTTATTGCATCCTATTCCAATCTCCTAGTCCTTTGACTCACCTCTAAACCATCACTTCTAAACATGCCGACCATACTTGTGCATTCTGTTTCAACTGCTGACTCACTTATTTCAAACACTACAACACTAACACCATAAAAGAATTAAGAGAATCCCTTAAGAGCTCACTGTCACTGGATATGACCGGTAACTGGTAAAAATAGTTAAGATTGATTTTAGAGATTTAGCTTTGTTTTCATGTTCTGAATGATGAGTGAAAGGGCAACCCTCAGTTTCACACAGAAGTGGAAGGTAAAAGTGATTCAATAATAACACTAATGATAATTCTGGGTACCAAAATCAAGAAGCTGAGGTAGAAAAAAATCATGGGGATACTAAAATGTACCGAAATGATGTACAGAAAATAAAATGGAATATGAATGACACTACAAATTCCTGTTAAGGAAGAACGTCTTTGATTAATAAGGATATCTCAAGTAATTTAATTAAAAAGAATAAGATATTTAAATTATTTATGTATTTTGCATGTTACCAAGATCTTCACTGAGACCACTTAGGAGGAAGAAAACTATAAAGAAATGTGTATTTTGTTTTATTTTTCTTCTGTCTTTATCTTGTAGATGTTTGCAGTTTATTTCTCTCAAAACTGCTAGTAATAATATACTCTAATTTTTAAAAATGTCTCACCAAAAGAGATTCTGAAAATGCTATTTGAAGTATCTGTATCTCTTAGGAGAGATTATAAACATGTAACTTAGTTTTTAAGTATTCAGAGTGGTTTCACTGCTCAAAGTGAGCGTTCAGAGCAAAGAAACAGTCATCAATGAGAAGTTAATGTCTTAAACAAAAAAAATCATTCAAGTTACATACGTGTGGCAAACGGTGCATACCCCAGGCACTCCCAGGAAATGTACGACACACATTTACACGTTAGAGACTTGGAGAAGGCAAGCGGAAGGAAACATGTTTCACATTCAAATGGTATCCCCTAAACTTGTCCGACCCTCGAAACTTTTACCCCCAACACCTGATTACCCTCTCTTAGAACTATTTCATGGAAAGCAGCCAGGGAAGCTTTTGGAGAACTAATTGTCTATTAAATTTAAGAGACTTTAAAATTTTAGCCACGTCCTTATGAATTTCTTTATATTCCTTCCAGAAATTCCTAACACAGCTGAATATATCAATCTAACACAGCTGGACAGAATTTCTAATGTGGTTGAATATATCAGCATTGATAAATGCTACAATGAAACATAAGAAGTTATGACTTGGTACTATTTATTAATGAGTATTATAAATTCACCATGATCACGGCAGAGCCTAGCCCTGGTTTTGCCATTAACTAACAGCATGACTCTGGGATAAGATATTCAGTCTTGGAGCTTCAATTCACTTATATCTAGAATGGGGCTAGATTTGCCTTGTCCATCCGACTGGTACATTTTGAGAATCAAGTCATTAAGATCAAGATCAACATCAAAAAGAATTTTTCATAAGTAATAAAATGTTATAAAAGCAAAAAAAGTTATAAAAGTATAAAAAGTACATTGTTTCAAATAGAGCATCAGTTTCCTTTTTATAGAGCCACACTAAATGCTATTGTGATTTCTTCTTTTCTTGAACTCTGACTAGAACACCGTCTTATAATTGCTAAACATCTCATTTTACTTAGTCAGAAAATTAATTTTTGTTTAGCCATTAATCATAATAGTGTATCATCAAACTTTTTTGAGAAAACAATGGCAAAAATAAGAAAATCAGAAAACTTTGTTGAAAAGTATTGCAGAGTAGTTGGGCACCAGTACCGCCTTCCTCTGGGCTCTGTTAGGAACCCATCTGAGGCAGCCCTTCATTCCCAGTGAATAAAGACAGGAGGGCTCTACAGTCTTTGAGTCCTTCATTAAACTATTGATCCCTTTAGCATTATCCATAATGTTCCAGTAGCTCAGCACGTCAATTGGTGAAGTGCTAGTCTCTCATGCCTTTCAATAATTTCCACACTTTATGGAGAGGAAGTCTCAATGATTTATTTACCTGACATTTTCCAGTCCGGATGTCGTACAGGGCCACTGAACCATGGCGAGCTCCAACTGCTATTCTGTGATTCCGCTCATAATAGCTGACCATGTAGAACCTGAATTGAACATTTTAACAACAACAACAAAAACAAAACCAGGTGAGATGACCTGCACATGGAAGTAGACAACAATACATTTCAAAGATTAAAGCCAGCTCTGATATATATTTTTAAATAAGTATCTATAATTAATACATTGAGATTTTTCAAAAATGTTTCATTTTAGTAACTCAAAATCAACTGAAAGAAAAATGATGCAGAATACCACTTAGGCCTGTTAATCATTATTTTCAGCAGAAAACAACTTCATAATTCAAATACCTTGAATTTTGAAATAAGAAATAAGGGTCAAATAAAAAAAAAGATTAAATATGAAAACTCAAATTTTGCTCCAGTGACCACCATGCAAATATTTCTATTTGAACAGAAATTGAAAAGGCTTACATATTCAATCTAACTATGTTCTCAAGACTTATTACAGTACTAAGGAGTGAAAATATACTTTCTAGCAGAATAATCATAAAAAAACTACATACATGTTATGCTTAAATTTATATCAATAATTTAGAATGAAATCACAAAGTTATCTACCAGAAAAAAGTTAGCTGCCAAATTCCCTAGATTTTCCACATATATCAGTTTATCTAAATGATAGCCGTGACTCAAGGTAATACAAATTAAAATATTTGGTGCTTATTTGGCATTGTATGAAAATAGAATTTAGGAGGATGGTTTGAAAGTTATGAGAGGCTAATTTATTTTTATTTGTTTTCTTTTTTCTAGATTAATTTCTTGACTGGATGAAGTATTTGAATTCCTGATCTATGCTTTGTCATAATAATTTCATGGCCATGTGGCTAGAGCCAGGGATGGTAAGAATAAAAATTATTAGAAGTGTAAATAAGGTATGATTTTATATCCCCGAAGAGTTTTGAATATACTTCCCCATTATCTAGTCCCACTGTCTCAGTGTGAGTTGCCAGATGAAAGAGAGGCTCACTCTAAATATTTATGAGACACATTCCTTGTCTTTTTTCTCTTTAGTTCCACAGGACCAACCTAATTTTGCTATTAATATTTTTTAAAAGACAAGCAGGGAAGGTAAAACAGATGATAGAAAAGAAATATTTCTTTAATGCTTTCTTGAGATTAATGTAGAGTGAAAAATTACCAGGGCATGGGACTATGTTTCTGAAATTCTGGTAAGAAAGGCTGAGAGAGGGAGAGAGACAAGATGTTTGAATGTAAGCATTTTGAAATCAGGGACATTCCGACAAAGCTATTATGGCATTAGCAGACATTATGACATTCACGCATATTTCATAAATCTGGAAAACAAGCTTTTAAGTTTTTAAACTTTTCGTTTGTTACTTATTACCAAGTAATGGATTCAACAATACTTTTGTCCTATCCCTAAGCCTCACCCAGTGACACAACTCCTTCCATTTTAGTGCAAGATAAATACTTCATTTTCAGTCACCTGGAAGACACTACTGTAGGATGTCCTGCTGGGTTTTGCTGTGCTCAGGTATCAGATGTTCTCTTTATATACTGGTTTGAGGGAAGGAAGGATACTGAAGGCTCCTGACTCATATGCAGCTTCCTCACTATTAAGTAGTTGGTAAAAAGTTAGTTTCTCAAAGCTTTTCCCATCTAAAGCTTACTCTACACCTCAATAGAGAAGGTAGGAATCAGCATTCAAAATCTATTGTTCTTATATTTGAAAATGAAAATGTTTAAAAATGTTTACTATTTTGTTATTCAGTAATTACAGTGATCTAAGTATTGGGCATCACTATATGCCTATATCTATGTTTATATCTCTATCTATACACAGAAGCACAATTTATACAATTATGTAATACAACTCATATGTTTCAGAGTAACATGGAATATAATGGTTAACAAATGTTTTCACAAATGTTTATTCTGTGCAGATTAATAGCTCCAGGAAAATAAAATTTCCAGAAGTATTTTTTTAATCTATTATTAACCTTTGCACAGAGGTAGCAGCTATATTGCCAAAATCGTTCTGCAAAACATGAATATAATTACCCCTCAAAATAATCCTCTTCGGAACAAACCATTGGTAAAATATATTTATGTTGACATAATTTTACTTAGTTAAACTAGACTCTAAAATGTTTTTGTTACATTGACCATTTTCTATACTCTGGATATCAACCTCATCCTTCTATATCATCTACAAACACCATTATTTATGAGAGAAAAAAAGATGAAATCTATTCTTGGTATCAAATCTTTAGTCTGCCTGAAAGGACCACATATTACAGGTTTGCATTTTTCATTCTTAGCAATTTACTACTAGACTAATACTTCTAAACAATACCTTAAAGAATTCTGGACAGTGAAGGTCTTAGGGCATGTTTTTATCTTTGCATTTCTTGTTAAACTAGTTTATTCCTTTCACAGTGGCTCTTTCAACAGAAGAAGTCTGTGGTATATATGCAGTCACTTCACAAGTATCCACTCTGGGCACTGGCTGCAGTGAGTCCATCTCTGCTGAGGCTTAGCAGAGCCCACAATAGCCCTAGACTACTCTTCCCCTCGAACCAGTTCTCCACTGGGAGGCTGTCAAGATTAGGACGGTGAGATACCCATTACTCATTGCCCCCCCCAAAGGTATCAATGGATTTAATAGAAGATTCATTGCAGTTTTTAAGACTATTCTGGTTCTGCAATGATCCCACAAGAAAGTCCTGAATCTCCTCCAAAATTTGGGCCAGGGGAGTCTCTCAGAGTAAGAGTTCTTGTGTGCTGAGCCTTCTGGAAATGGTATCTCAGTGTCCAGTCCACTGCACTGATAAGATGTCACTTAGGCAGCATTTCTTACACAACAACCTAGCAAGAATCCTTTCATTAAATTCAAAATAGAACAACGGCTCTCCTCTACTCAGGCCACCACAAGTAAACAGTTAAGTCAGAACTGTTATCACTAAAGTATATGAAAGAAAAGTAAAAGTGGAATTGAGTAATGTTGCAAAATGTCTTTCTTACTGGGGCTGGGGTGGTCATCATCCAAAAAGCTTAGTGATAATGAAAGCATGTATCGCCCACATGCATACAGAGTGAACCTTTTCAACCATAAATCAAATCACCTCTCTCTTATGCTCACAACTGTCCCTCAAGACCCTACATGATGTGGCCCTTACACCTCACACACTTCCTCTCCTCTCCCCTCTGCTCTAGTCATAGTGATTCCCTGTGCTTTCTTGAATATGCCAAGAGTATTCCCACTTTGGGACCTTCACACTTGCTGTTCCGTCTGCTGGAAAACTCATCTGCCCAGTGCCTCCCTGGCTCAGGCCTTCACTTCATGGTCATCTTGGTAATACAGCAGCCCTTCCTCCATTATTCGTTAGTCAAAATATCCTATTTATTCTTTATTGTACTTATCATCTCTGAGATATTAAACAAGAACTTTTTTGTTTATTGCTCGTTTCCCTCTACCAGAGACTTTCATCTTTTGCTGGAGGTATAAATACATAAATATGGTCCAAACAAGCAGGATGCAACAGTAAAAAGTTCAATGCAGTAAGAAGTTCAAAACACTATGCATATCCTTCAGTGACTAGCATATAAACTATGCTAGACATGGATTTTAAGACCAATAAATATTTTATAGGGTCTAATACAATAATTGAGATGAACAACAGAGGAAACAAAAACTGTCTAAAAAAGTTAGGTAGAAATCAACAAACAAAGCCACGCCATGACCTTCTAAAAACGTATTTTCAATTGAGACAAACAATTGCAAATTTACAAGAAGTTATCTGTAAAGGCCCCTAGAGCCTGGGTACATTAGCATGAGACTGACAGTTGCATAATGGAAACTACTTAATATCTCAGGGAACTGGAAAAGATTACTTGGGCTGAAATTCAAGAAGGCAAATATAGTCTAAATAATGATATATCCAGTAAAGTAAATATCTTTGGTATAAACATTGTCCTGGGAATACCAAAATTATTCTAAGAATTGCCAGATATTTATTATTGCCACACATAAATTTCAATGAACATGGTATTATCACACAAAACATAATTAAAAGAAATAATCACTTATCAATCATTATGAAATACTGGAATAGGTTCTTTTAATTCTCCACAGCCATATTTGTGACTTCAACCATTCGGGAGTAACTCACAATGGGGTGTAACTCACCCCACAATGGGGTGGTTCATGAGGTGAAGTACAGATGTGAACCAAGTCCACGCTGGTGCAGTATCCTGGAGTTTGCCAAGCACCCAATAGCTGAGTCTCTAAATAACTTTGGTATTCTCTATTTACAGTCTCCCTTGAATGGAAAACCTTTTTGTCTTCACTAAAAATGGCCCTCAAATAAGAGAAAATTTGTGTGAAATTTTGAAAAGTCATTTTGGAAAAATATAGGAAAAGGAAACAAGCAAGTCTCAGCAGAAATATGATTTGGGAAAAAGAAAGAAACCTGGAAAAAATCTTTCTTAACTATGACTTTGGTAATCTGTAATGATCTTAGCATGTTAAGATGCTACTGTAAATCACATCCTTGAGCATTAAAATGCAACAAGAAACACTCTTTGATTAATCCAAAATTAACCTACAGCTTAACATGAAACCATCTAAAATGTACAGACGTATGGGATAGAATGTATGGAATATGACTATTTATAGTTCATTAACTACAACTACTATGTGAGCTAACACTTACTGACTGCTAACTGTGTATCAGGCACTGTCATAAGTACCTGTACAGTCACGAGCTACATAACGAGGTTTCAGTCAATGACAGATTGCATGTATGACGGTGGTCCTATAAGATTAGTAATATGTACCCAGGTGTGTAGTAGGCTATACCATTTAGGTTTGTGTAAGTACACTCGATGATGTTCACACAATGATAAAATTGCCTAATGAAGCATTTCTCAGAATGCATCCCCACCAATAAGTGATACACAACTGTATACGTATTTTCATAAGTAACTGATGTATTAGGAGCAATTCTTATTGAGTTGCTTTTAGAAACTCTTGATGTTGATTTTAAATGGTTCACAAACTT